AGCGGCCCAATGTGTAACCACTATGACACCAATGTTCATTGGTAGGAAGACTTAATATTGTGAGAGTGCCAATACTATTTAAATCAATAGAAAAATACAATAGAATTCTGATTCAAATCTCAAATTCATTCTTTAAAGAAATGGACAAACTAATTACCAAGTTCATAAGGAAAGAGAAGAGGCTTAGGATAAGCAATGGACTTTGCAAAAGGACCAAAGTCCAAAGACCAACTTCACAATAGTCAAAACAGCTTGGTTCTGGTCCAATGATAAATACAAAGACCAATGGAAGAGTTTAAAACACTGAGAAATAAAAGCATCCACCCAAAGGCAATTGATTTTTGACAAAGGACCAAAAATCATTAAATGGGAGAGGGATACTCTCTTTAACAAATGGTGCTGGAAACTAGATCTCCATCTTCAGAAGAATGAAACAGGCTCCATACTTCACCTCATGCACAAAAAGGAACTTAGGATGGACTATAAACCTAAATGTAAAAAAAAAAAAGAAAAAGAAAGAAACCTAAATGTAACTCCCCAAACGATAAGAATAATCAATGAGAAAATTGGGACCACTTATGGCTCTCTTATAGGGCATAAATGAACTACCAAATATAATAAAGTGCACACAGTGGAAGCCAAAAGAGATGACTCGGACCTATTAAAAACAAAGCACTGAAGCACATCAAATGACTTCATCAAGAGGATAAAAGGATTGGGAGAAAAAAATTAGTAATGACACAATGGACAAGAGACTAATGACTAAAATCTATATAATTTTGCATCACCTTAGTAAGAAAACAAAATCCAATTAAAAGGTGAGCAAAGGACATGAATAGAAAATTCACAGAGGATGACACTCAAATGGCTAGCAAACACATAAGGCAATGCTCTGGATCACTAATGATCTGGGAGATGCATATCAAAACAACAATACAACTATGAGATATCACCTTACACTCCAAACCATAGCCCAATTGAAAAAAAATACTAGAGAACAAATGCTGGAGAGGGTGCAAAGAGGTAGTAACTCTTATACACTGTTGGTGGGCTTGTAAATATATACAACCATATGGGAAGCAATATGGTGCTAGCTAAAACAATTGGGAATTCCAAAACACTTCATTGTGCTTATGTGGAACTTGCACATCAATCAAGAGGCAGTTGTGCAAAAAGAACAATGAATTCTGCATGGTTTAAAATCAGGAAATGTGTGGATCAGGGTTGTATCCTCTCATCGTAGTTAGAGAAACTAGATTATATCAAAAAGAGTGCTGCCTCAGGATGGGAGGAAGGCTTACTAACAACCTTCATCATGCAGATGACACAACATTACTTTCTGAAAGTGATGAAGACCTGAAGCCCTTATTGATGAAGATCAAAGGTACAGCTTTCAGTATGAATTAGGACTCAATATGGAGAAGACCAAAATCCTCACCACTAGTTAACATCATAATAAATGGAGAAAAGGTTAAAGTTGTTGAGGATTTTGTCTTGCTTGGATTCGCACTTGATGCTCATGGAAACAGCAGCCAAGAGATCAAAAGACATTGCATTAGGTACATCTTCTGTACCAGGTTTCTTTAGGGTATTAGAAAGCAAAACTGCTCCTTTGAGGACTAAGGTGCTCCTGACTTGAGTGAGCCACAGTATCTTCAGTTGCCTCCTATGCATGTAGAAATTGGACAGTGAAGAAGGAAGACCAAAGCAGAATTGATTCTTGAATTGTGCTGGAGAAGAATATTGAAAGTACCATGGGCTGCTTAAAAGACAAACCAATCTGTCTTGGAAGAAGTAAGGCCAGAGTACTCCTTAGAAGAAAGGATGGTGAGACTCACATACTTTGGACATGTTGTCAGGAAAGATCAGTCCCAGGAGAAGGGCATCATGTTTGGTAAAGTTGAGGGGCAGTGAAAAATAAGAAGTCCCACAAGGAGATTTGTTGACATAGTGACTGCGTCAATGGGCTGAGGCATAGGGACAATTGTTAAGTATCACTCGGCCTGAGTCGTGTTTTGTTTTGCATAGGGTCACTATTGGTCGGAACAGACTCAATGGCACTTAACAACAACAATAACAAAGCAACTAGCAATAGAAATACCATACCATCCAGCACTGCCTTTTCTGGGCATAAACCCCAAAGATACAATAGACAAAATGGGAATAGACATATACTCCCATATGTTCATTGCAGCACAGTTCACAATAGCAAAATGCTGGAAACAGCCCAAATGCCCATCAGCAGAATGGATAAAGAAACACTGGTTCATACATACAATGGAATATTTTGCATCCCTGAAATAGAGTGATGAAACCATGAACCTATTGTGGCATGGATAGACCTGGAAACCACTATGCTGGGTGAAGTTGATCAATCCCTAAGTACAAATGTTGCATGAATTCCAAGCAACAAAGTCGAGAGCCTGCCTTTGTGCCCATGAGCCCTATGCATCACCCTCTTTATATGCACATCTTCAAAATCACTTCAGCAGGGGGGACCTCACCTCTGCTGGGGTCAGTTTTTCAAGATGCAGGGAGAGGGAGAAAACCATTCAGTTGTTGACATACAATGTTGTGCTAAGTTCACCCCAAGTCAACAGATGACAAGTGAACATTACTGGAAATTCAAGTCAAGATGGGAGGGATGGATGGATGTCTCAAAGAAGGAGATTCTATCACTGTTGGTGGGTAAACTGGGAGGTGTAAATTTCCATAGGGAACCCCACCCCTGCAAAAACAAAACAACAACAAAAAAACCTTAACAATACTCATACAGAACCCAACAGAAGAAGAGACCTGGTACTATGTTCCTAAATGGAACTTTTAGCCTAGTTTCTATACAGCCCTTGATGACCCAGGTCATGCGGTACATTGTACTTTAGACTGTCTTTTTGAGGTGAGCAACATTCTTCATAGGTCCCACCAGGAGAACTTAATGTACAAACCCCACTAAGCCCAATGGGCTTTACCCCAAACTCCCCTGTAGCAGATATAAGGAACTAGCCCACGCCCTTGGACTTTAGGCTGAAAAAGCCCTAGTGCGAGAAGAAACATGTTACTTCTCATCCAAGGTTATGGAATTGGTGGTTTGGGGACTTTGGATCAGATCTCCTACTTTGAGGGTGCCCAATGAATTGTGGCCCGGCACTACCATATTTTTACATTTTAATGCTCTACTTGCTTTCTTATGACAGGCATTAGTCTGGTAGGTGTGGTTCTGCCTTTTAATAAATATTATTGAAAAATCTGCCCTATCACGAACCCTTATTGTTTGTGTAAATAGTGTCTAGTCACTTGAGTTTAATATATTAACCTCTTTGTATATATTAATTATGTATATATTTTGTATATATTAACATAAATACTTTGTATATATTAATATAAAAATACATTAATCCATGTATTGAAGTCTGAATCCAGCCTATACTTGTATAATTTCCTTTCTCAATAGTATTTTAAATTCCATATGATTGGTTAAATGAATGACACAATTAATAAAATTAATTTATGTCCCAGGGGGATGATTTACAATGTTCTCTATCATAAATTGATAATGATGTCTTTAAAATGAACCAGGCATAAATATAAACCATAGATATATAAATGGATTTGGGGGGGGGGTCACATTTAATTCTAGTCCACACTTAATTCTTATGACATGGCCCAGCTTGATGCTTGTTTCCATACAGAGATCCCTGAAGATATGAGTGCTATAGCAAAGTATGAAGAAACTAGATGGTGCCTAGCTATCAGAAAGAATAGTGCCTGGGGTCTTAGCTTGTTTTCAAACAAGGACCTATCTAAGCGAGGCATCAACTCAGTCCACATGAAGAGCACACCGGCCTATCTGATCAAGGATTGTAAACTATTATTCTTTTTATTAAACCCAAATCTGATGGAGGGAATAGCATCAGTGCTTAGATTGTGAACACCTGGCTTATGGAAAGTGATGGATGACAGTGGAAGCCCAAAACTCATTTGCAATGTCTCCACATGGATTAAGCCTCCAGTGACTTCCCTTAGACCATAGTGGATGGATGTGAATAGCCTTGCTTATCAGACAGAGAGCATTTAAAGTCGATTATGGCAGATGTAGTTAGGTGAAAATGTAGTATCATTTCATTCCATCTCCCTTTTGAACCATTTTAAAATTGCTTCAATGTTTAATATTTTCTGCTTTCCCTTTGACTGAGGTTTTTTTATGTTTTGTCTAATCATTGCTGCTTTTATTCTTCTGTTTGCTTGGTTGCTTTCCATGTTTGTATATGATGTGTTTCATTTTGTGTATGTGTAAATATTTTGTGTAATGAATTTTATGCATATTAAATTCAGAATAGGTGGCTCTATGGGGACTGTAACTTGATAAGGGCAGGGGAGGAGAAAATAGGGGGATAGGGAACTAACAATAATGAGTAGGAGAAGACAATGTTCGGAATTAATTGTGGTAATTATTGTACAAGTCTTCTTAATATGATTGAACCATTCAATTTTATGATATGTGAAGTATATGTCCATAAAACTATATTTTAAAAAGTGACCGTCAGAACCAACTCCTGCAAGGTAATGACTCACACGTGCTACTTTTTTTGAGATCTAAACATTTAGTACTGCGATTTGCATTCAAGCAAGTTGTTATAATCATCTTCAGTAAAGAAAACTGCCGCAAAGATGACAAGATATATGTGCCCAGTGTCATTCTGAAGTTAAAATCTTCTTATGATCTTGACCTTTACACTTAATGGAATAAGTGAGAAGGCATGAGTGCTACATAGTTGAGACAATGAAAGAAGCAAAGCACTTGAGACTTCCGCAGTGGTTTGACGCTGGCCCAGAATGGCAGTTGCAACACAGCAAGTATAACCCAAGCTTTGGCTGAAACCTGGGGGAAAAGCTGCCCAGAGGGCCCACATGCTGGTTGAGATGATGTGAAGTTGTGGATACGTCATCAGTTTCTCCAGCCCAGTAGGAGATGCCCCATCACATCAAGCATGAACACTCACCGTTTTTGCAGAGCAGGACAGCCAGAAAGTCCTGAGAAGAGGAATTGATGTAGAGCAAGAGGCTGGGGGCCTGTGCTGTCATAAAGCTAAATGCAATGTCTTCCTTGGATGGCACGGCGTCCATGTAAATAGCCGAGGATGAGAGGTTTGTGTTCTTGGTCACACGGTAAAGCTCCTGAAACATGTATGTAACTGAAGTGCCAGCCTTGAAAACTGCAGAAACCTCTGAAAAATATAATAGGGAGAGCACACATTGAAACACATTTAGTCAAAAAATATTCTGGAGAAGCATACTTGTTTGTGAATCATTCCCCATGTGCCAGAAGAGTCCCTGGGTGGGGCAAGGGTTTAAGTTCCGCTACGAACCAAAAGTTGGCTGTTTGAACCCTCGCAGTAGTTCTGTGTAATTAAGGCCTGGAGCTATGCTTCTGCCAAGATGAAAGGGGAAAAAATCATATGTAACAGTTTTACTCTGGTTCCCACGTGGTCGCATGAGTTGAAATCAACTCAACCATAATAGGTTAGTTTTGGTTTCGCGTGGCAGGTGCCAGGTGGAGGATTTTCACATGTATGCATGAAATGCAATGTGCGCCACAGAGAATTTTGAAAGTTTTAGAGACAGTATATTTTGTACAGATGAGCACTTGAGACTTACAAAGATTAAATGTCTTGAACAGGTTACAGGAAAGAGGTTTGACTCCTGAGTGTCGGTGCAACTGAGCATGCATTTAGAGAGTGACTGCTTTGCTTTACTAATTTCCCTAAAATTGAAGATACACTGTCTCTGCCAACGGGAAGACACTCACTTAGTACGCAAGAGACTGGTAGTAAGAATCAACCTAAAGGAAGTTGGAAGAAAGCTCTCACTGTCTGATACCAAAAGGTCACAGATTGGAAAGCCCTTTGTGGCAAAGTTCTGCTGAGCAATCCATAAACCCAAAAACTCCAAATTCGTTTCCATCAAGTCATAGCAAGTGAGCCCCTGGGGGTTTCTGAGGCTGTAACCCTTTGAGGGAGTAAAAAGCTCAGGCTTTCTCCCTCAGAGCAGCTCTTTGTTTCGAACTGCTGACGATGCGGATTTCAGCCCAACTGAGGACCACGAGCCACCAGGACTCCTCTGCGGTACCTACGGCCACCATTAATTGGAACGGACATCGTGCCCCGGGCTTGGTTGTCCTAAATCACAAGGCAGTGATATCGCTGTCGTCAAACTCAATTCATTCCTAATTTGTATTCGAACACCAAGAAATTCAAGAACTGAACATAGTTTTCCCATAAGAAATGATGGAAAAGCAAAGAATTGATTTGGAGGCATAAAAATTAAACTTATAAAAATTTCCAGGACTTTAACACAATGTTAACAGCTCTAGGTTGTGGAGATACCCCTAAAACATCTAAACACGATAAATATAGTACATTAAATATCAAAACAATACAGTAAACAACATTATCTTATTTTTCATTATGTTTGCTTGTTTAAAAACTGGTGGGTTCTCAGAATGGTCCAGGGATCTGGGCGTCACTTTACAATCCCCACTAGCATTCCCACACAAAAACAGGGTGAGCCTCTGTTTCCTAGGCTGTGGTCTGGCAATGCCTTTTCCTCTTCAGTAAGGAAGGGCCCGACTGGGCTTTTTTCCCCCTCAAAAAAGCCTGGTTTTGTCTCAGCTGAACACTTGCTGGGGAATGAAACTTTCAGCCTCCTTGGCTGATTCAGCAAATTCAGCCACCAATTTATGGGTTTCGTCTTTATTTGCACTGCCCCTTCCCTGCGCCCATGTAAGCCTGTTCTGTTTTTGACTTTTTCAAACCAGCCATGACTGGTTTTGAGCACTTGGGACTGTACCCATAGAACACCTTTCAGTGATGATTGACACATGACCGCGCCCCCACCCACCCGCCAGGGGCAAGAGCAACAGAAATGGGGGAAGGGAGACAGCGGTCGGTCTAAGATATGAAAATATTTATAATTTATCAAGGGGGCATGAGGGTGGGGGAGAGGGAGGAGCTGTCACTAAGGGCTCAACAGAAAATAAATGTCTAGAAAATAATGATGACAACATATGTACAAATGTGCTTGATAAAATTGATGTATGGATTGTTATAAGAGCTATAAGAGCCCTCAATAAAATGTTTTGTTTTGTTTTTTAAAGAAATAACTTTGAAGGCTGTTGGCCTTCTTGGATATCACTGTCTCAGATATGCTATCGCGTCCAGTTGTTTCTGATTCATACAGATTAACTGTAGCGTTTCAACCTGGTCAACGGTCTGGGTCTTTGTTTCATGGTTAACGGTTTCACATCTTTCGCTACATGAGCAGCTTTCATCACATTTCTGTCTCTCAAAAATGCCGATAATATTGACTTATCCTATTGTGTTCAGCCTCCAAATCCGACAAGTGGCAACACAATTCAAATTTCACAACGAGTTCTTTCTCTAACTCTATCTTCGTTCTCCCAGGTTTTCTCTTAGCTTTACTTCTGGTATTAATAACTTTCTTTGCATCCATGGTTAGGATCTTTTACTCAACGCACACACACCAAAAGAAGTACAATGAGAATGTGTGGATATACTAACACCAACACTAGACTAAAGCGTCACCTTGGGGTCCAAGGCCTGGCTGGACGTAGGACCCCGGCTGCACCCCTACAGAATTGTCAAGGTGGATGTGCAGTTTGACTAATCAAGTAAAATTCGGAAAACTGAATGGATTTTCTTTTGAGTTTTGCTGTTTCAGTGGTATGAGCATTTGACAATTGAGGCCTCGCTGTCTAGGGAAATTTTACTGGGCTCTTGTTCTCCAAAAGGTTGAGTAAAGTGACTTAATAAAACTGAAGAGGAAATTAGTAGAAAATGAATGTTTTCTACTCTTGGACTCCATTTTTTTAACATATATACAGTGTTATGCTCAATTCCAAAAATAACACAGACTCGATCCAATAGGCCTTCCCATGGGAAGCAATTCCAATAGCACAAGCAATTGAATGGGGGTCTTCAACTCCCATGGAGAAAGTTAGCTCTACCAACTGATGAAGTCCAAATATCAGGAGCACACTAGAGATCGGATTCTCCATGTAAAATGTTCTTACTCAAATGATTACATATTCAACCAGTAGCAACACAGAATTTGACTTCATCACTTAACCTGAAACTACACTATATTTAAATCTTGCTGCCCATGGAGCCTTGGGGTGTAGTGATTATGTGATGGGCTGCGATCTGCATGGTTGGCAGTTCGGAAATATCAGCAACTCCGTGGGACAAAGATCGGTTTTTCTACTCCTGTAAACATTTAGCGTCTCAGAAACCCACCAGAGGTCGCCACGTGTCAGCACCGACTTGACGGCAGTGAGTTTGAGTTTGGGAGTCCCGTCAAGTTAGCAAATGTAAAGACTCTGAATAGAAGCCTAGCACCTACCTCGTTAGCACCCTCATGTCACTATAAGTCTGAATCAACTCCATGGCAATGAGTTGGGGTTTTGAATAGATACACGAGCTGTGTGTAATGGACTTTAGATTGTAGTCTTTCAGCTTGTATATACTGAGTGATAAAGTAGGAAGTACCTCAAAGCCATCATAACAAGCGTTAGACAATAGATCTACTTACTGACGGCACTTCAGTTTCAAGGCCTAGATATTTTTCTTCTTCTGATCAGGGCTGTTTTTGAGGCCATGTTAAATGTTATGCTTATGAAATGATGGGGTAAGCAGGAAGAATTTCTCTGCCGAACAGTATGATTTATTTCTGCCAAAAAGCCTGTGCCGTAAAAGCAGAACAATGAGGACGCACCCATGTTGTCATGGGAAATTTCCCTTCTTCCTGAATGATATAGGGGAGGTGCCGAATTCCTCGTGAATTTTCAGATTGAGTTGGCGGCACCTGGAATATAATCAGAGCCGACTCTTGCTTTCTAATTCGATGACACATTTGCTCTACCTTGTGGAAATTCTTCCGCAGTGTGTAACACTGCCCTAACAAAATTAAAATGGCCTATTTATGCATGCTGCCAAATGGTTTGGGAATCTCAGCTCATTTATACTAAAGTTCAGAGAAAACACTTTGCATTGATCATCCAGGTTACAGCAACACTCTTGATGATAAAGATACGCAGCAAAGACTCGTGACAGGGAGAATTGGGGAATCATCAACTTAATTCAAGCTGTTTACATAAGTGAATTTCCTCAGGGGCATTGGGATCACATTCTGAGCTCCCAGTTAGAATAAACTGATTTTATTTTATGTTTATCTATCTGTGCAAATTCAGGTCTAATGTAGGGTATTTTGTTATACATAGAAGGAGTTCTGAGTTACACAGTGGGCTGCTAACTACAAGGTTATCAGTTCAAAACCACCAGTACTCTGAGGAAAAAAAAGCTTTCTAACCCTGAAAAGAAGTACATTTACAGAAAACCACAGGGGTAGTTCTTCTCTGTCCTATAATGCCCCTAGGAGTTAGAATTGACTCAATGACAGTGAGTTTGGTTTTGGTCACGCATAGAATACTGTACTTTCTTTATCCTCAGTACAATAAATTTAAATATAAAGAATTTTGAATAGAAGAGTCAAGTGAAATATATGCCCTCCCTCCTCTTCCAACTCTAGTTTTGATTATTTTGAATGTTTTAGGTATTATAGAATTCAACATAAAGCTTAAGTCAGCATTGTGCCAGGACTCAGTTTCAAATAGATTGAATTGTCTGCATATCCAAAACTTTTTAGCTAAATGGAAGGAAGAAAACCCCCAAACATAACTTGAAGATGATTTTCTATGATCATCAGGCAATACCAGAATTAATAATATCTCTCAGATGATTACCAGATGGAGAGCCTTATTATAATTAAGTTCTGAGAGGATAAGTCATGTACTAAAAAATATTAACATCACTGAATGGCAGTCTAGGAGATGACGTGTATCTACAGAAACAATGTTTCCAGGGGAAGACAAAGCAGCAGGTGAGCGGACTCTTGGGAACCTCAGCGAGAAGACGGACATTGTCTGGGTCGTGAAAGGTGGAGTAGATTATGAGAAGTAGAGAGGAACAGGGACAGAAGGTGAGGATATGTCTCTCTGAACCTTGGTGACTGGCTGACCTGGCACTGCCACTCTGTGGCCCTCACTAGTCTCACGGAGTCTCCAGCTCTTCCAATCTAAATCGTCATTAAACCACTCTCAGGATGGAGATAAGTATTGTTAAAATGCATGAACACCTGGTATATAGTCGAT